ACGTATAAGCCCAACCAACATAACATTAGACGAAGTAAAACTGAGCGTTGTAACAACTTTCCTACAAGATAAACAATCTTCGACGTAAGATTTTGTAACATGGTATTTTTGGTCACATTAATTGCAACAACGTGAATATAAGCAGTGAACGATTGTATTTCCATACTCGTTTTCCTTGTGATTGGAACTAAAGGAGAGGATCACTGTATTCGTGAAAGAACTTTTGAAGTAATTGATTGATTTTTAGAAATAGTCACAACCTACTTATTGACTCATGTGACCGAGACTCGCATCATTTGCTTTCGTTATCGATTTCTTAACTAAGCTGTATTCTATTAGTGTGCATAAATCCGTCTGGTGATAATAATCAGGACCGTGTTTTGCTTCGTGTTGACCAAACCCTATAAGCTAAAAATACGCAATGAGGAACTAGGTCCCTTGGCCTCAAACATCACACTAAGATTATACCCAGTATTGGGAATCCTTACTTGGAAGCTGACAAGAATTTGAGTAATTCTTGATTGTAATCTCTGAATACCCTACTTTAAATCAAACACACCAAGAGTTGTCTGTTGTCTCATTCTACATTTTATATTAATTCGGACATTATGACAATTTTACTGATTTGATACCATTATTGTGGTACTTATTAAACGAATACATAATAATTTAATAATTGAATTCATGAGTCAATAGGAACTATAAAAAACCTGGAATCACACTGGACAGCCGTTCATCCTAGAATGAGATTTCTCAACAATCCGCATCCACAACCCCTGCCCCGGGGATTCGAACTCAAGATTTATCTGTCTCGCGCGCGAACGCAGTGCTGAGGAGTCCCATATTAGGATGAAACGGCCTTCCAATTCTTCCAGGTTTTCCACGGTGGTCCAGCTTCAATTGACTCATGAATTCAATTATTAAGTTAGTACAATCTCCACAAAACCCCTCTGATTAGAATACATAGTAATATAAGAGAAAATTAAATATTACAACTGCACTTTTTGGGGGAAATTACTGAACAATTGGCCATTATTTCGCACTTAATATAAGGTAATTTACTTCTAAATTGTTGAAAACAGGAACACATGGTCTAATTCTACGTATGATTTCTGTAAATATTTAAATTTGTCTTTTCGAAACCTTAACTCAAACAGTAACTTAGAGTTTCTTTAAATAATGGTTATGAAAGTACTAATTCTGTATAAAGAAATTAATCTGCCGAACTATAAAAGCTGTCACTGTTGGTTTCTATTCACTTTAAGTTGAACATTTAACGAGTCTTTGGAACAGATTCATAGTTAGAGACTTTGGATGACATGGCTCACAATCGTTTGCAATGACGCAGGTGCATCCACTATTTGTGTTCTTCTGAATTCTTCATTTCTCTTCTTTTCTGTTTTCAAATTTATTTCACTGGATTATACTTCTTGAATAAAATCTTCACAGCCTAATGTTTCCGATTACTGCTTATACTTTTACTACCTCTATCACTATGGGATTTGAATCGACAATTGTATATGTATGCTAATGTAGTATGACAACTTGACCTAATGCAGGTACGTAAAAAGTTCTACGTTGTAGCTGACTAACTGACTCTTTGCGACTCGAGAAACAAAAGTTCTATTTTTATGACCAGTGTTACATATAATTAATTAGAATATTCAGTTAAGTTTTTAAATGAATCATTTATGTAATTCATAAACTGTTTATATATTGTTTGCCGTTCATGTTTTTTCTTCTTACTAACAGGTTCGAAACTGGTCCCGATTTTCTCATGGATTCAAATGGCAAAAGATTTGCTTATGATTCGTTTGCGATATTCATTAGGGGCATGGAAAATTGACCCAGTTTACACTTGATATTGTATATCATTGAAAGAATCTCTAGTCATTTTGTTTTCATCACATATGTGCAGTTCAATGTATTACACATTCCATTATTCCTATTTTATCACCTTTTTAAGTTTTATTCTAACTCATTCATTCATATTGTTAATTAAATTTTCTCAAAATAAAATGGCTATTGATAGAGTATTACTTACAATAACTTAGAAAACTTTCACGTGAATTATGTCCAATGTTTATTATGCAATGATCTATTCATTAGAGTAAAGTTAACTTTGTAAAGTATCAATTTAGGAGTTGGAAAACCCTGATTCCAAACCAATGGTACACATGAACTCCAGAATCCTGATAGAACAAATGGCGTATGAACCTATTGTTGGTCACCAGTTACCATAAAACTGTATCTCCTGACGTTGCTTCACTACTTTGTAGATCAGATCTTTAGGTCGAAGGCTCCGGAAGTAGCCCCCTAAGAAAACCACTTGCTTCAGTTTGGGCACCCGAGCAGTATCCAAGTCGTCACACAAATCTAGTGACTTATGTAGCGCATATCTATTTGGTGCCTCCTTGTATCAATATTTGTGTTCAAATAAATAAATAACAATTTTTGCGCTGTAGATGATGCTTAAATGTTCAAAGTAATAAATAACATCCTAGTTTAAGTAAGATATCAAAAAGACAGGTTCAGATCTAGTATGACCTGATCTAATATATGTGATTTCAAAAGTCTATAATTACTGGAACAGACAGTATTGAAATATACACCAGTGTAAGTAGATTTCGTTTATTTACAGTGAAGAGATCAATAAATAAAATGAACTGTATTAGGTCATACTCGGGTGTGGTGTCTCATACACCTAACAACCTTAAACTGTTTAGCCCCCAAATGCTCTGGTATGGCCGAGAACAGGGTAGGTCCACCCTATCTCTCGAAATACTCTCACACGGCCACGCGTATACAGCCTCTACCAGGGAAGTCCTACTCACTGCCTTTTCACACAAATCGAATGATTTATGTAGCGCATATATACTTGGTGCCTCCTTGTACCAATGTTTATGTGTTTACATAAACAAACTGTCTTAATATTAGTGTAACTATCTTTAATATTCTGCCATCTCGACTATAAATAAGTAGGAGAATGAAATAATGCAGAAAGTGAATTCCTTTTTGGCTTTGCAACAATAATGATCAGCCGGGTTCCGACCTACCTTTCGATAGATGATTAATGACAAAACTCCATACTACCAAAACTTAACCAGCGGTTTTGAAAATCTGTTGTCTGTGGAGGACTCACTTAAAATCGATGTTTTGTAACCCGCTTTTAGTCACGAGCAATCACCCCCAAGGATTCTCCACGATGGGGTTGTTAGTAAGCCCCGCCATAATCAATAACACGACTTCCTTTCGAAATCTGTCGCTCTTTAGCGTCCTAGCCAACATACAGCAGAGTCCAGCCTTCGTATCATGTTATTTATCTCGACAGAGTTTTTCATTGTTTTTGTGTAATTTTTTAACTAAAGGAACAGAAGCCTTTTGTTCTCTAGTTGACGAATACAAGACAACTAGGGAACCCGCATTTAAGTTTATGAGTAAGATAATAGATGAGTGCTAGCAACTGCGTCCGAGTAGTAATCATGCTTGACGACACGAACCATTTGCCCAAATAACAGTGGGTTAGTATTCTAACTTGGGATGTAACGAATAGAGAACAGTTGCTTAAGTCCCAGTTCTCAACTACTCAAGGAAAAACAAACAGTTTCTTGGATGGATAGTTGGATTATTTGCCCTACTGTTTCAACTAATTGAACTGGCTGAAACGAAAACAACATGGAAATCTTACCTAGCTTGAACTAACTTCAGTGAGTCAAATAATTATATGTGTGGGTTTGTTTTCTCTCAAGGATCTAAACAAGAGTTTGGTGGCGTAACCGCAAAATACACATTAAGAAAAAGCTTGCATTTTAATGGACTGTTAACGATGAGAAGTGTTCTAGAGAATTCCAGGATAACATACAGAATATTTGTAGTCTGAGTTGTTAATATTATTTAAATGCATAAATACTAGAACAAGGAAGCACCAAATTTATGCGCTTACACTTCATCATCTGATCTGCATGCGGGGCTAAATAATGCCCGTGCGCCTAAACCGAAGCAGGCGGTTTTCTCAAGAGTCACTCTCTGAGCCTTTGACCTGGAGGTCAAACCTCACATGGTAGTGGAGCAATCTTTGGAGATGCGGTCCCATGGTGAGCGGTGACCAACAATGGGTTCATACGCCATTTGTTCCCTCACGATCCTGGAGCCCATGTGCACCAGTGATTTGGGATCAAGGTTTTCCGACTCCCCTAGATGGACTCTCCGTATCCACCAACCTGGTTAAATCACCGGATATTCATTTGTCGTCCTCAATTTCGTAAACAATAATAGTGCTGCAAGAAGGACTTTCCTGACAGTGGGTTGTATGCATGTTAGAACATTTTGAGAGAGAGAGCAGACTATCTCCACTCTCGACTGTACCAGGGCGTTTAAGGGTGATTGAATGGTGATTTCTGAGCTTTTTACACTATACCCAAATGTTTTCACTAGCTAGCATTCATAGTTTATCAAGTTTTTTTAATTACATTCAACTTTTTCTATCAAAAATAGTAACTGAAAAATCGGTCTTTCGCAATTTTTAACTAATAAAATAAGGTTAGTCAGAGTGAGCTAAGAATAATCCAATTAGATTGACAATTTCTTATATGTTTAAGATATCTAGTAAGTGAACTGATATAGAAAAACAAAATACATGAAGTAAAGTAATCATAGATACTGAATAATATCTTAACTAAGCCACACAGTCAACGATGTTAACTATTTAATCGAGTTAAATTACTTTTCCAGACTGATAGTTCGATCTTACTAATCACCTATTTCACCTAATAGCTATTAAATTAGAAACCACCATATCCTGAAAAGTATCTTCAATAATAAAAGAACTACATTCACCAAACTATGTAGTGCTAATTTAGTAGTTAAAGCATTTGACTTCTAACTGTTTTCTTAAGGATACTAACCCCTTACCACGTTTAATTTGCTTCCATGAAATGAACAGAATCAATAGCTTCACTCAAAAAGTGTAACTTAGGGACAAAAAAAAAGAAAACATACTTAGTTAATGAATTACATTATATTTTCTCATCATTTAACATACTAATAAACAATTTAAATGTACGCGTTATGATATGGCCATCATATACCGGCGTAATTTACTGTTAACAATGAATAACAGAAACAAGCCTAAAAGATAAAGCAAATAATAATAGGTTAAGTTTATACAATCTAGTCGAATAAACTACTAATCACAGAATAGACTATTAACATATACTGGTTTCTAATCATCTTCCGGAACAAAAATTTCATTTTCCTCAAGAAATTCTGCTCCATTTCTACTTATCCATGCACCAGCGAAAATTGAGGATATTACAACACAAGTAATTTTGATCACTCCTAGAGGAGTTGTTAAAGGTCTACAGTGAAGAGCGCCAGTTGATGAACATGAACCAGGTTCTCCGGAATAGCATTGCATTCCTCTTGTAGGCAAACTTTTCCGATATTGGCAACGCAGGACATTTTCAATCAACCGCTTACTTAACATCTATAAAATTATTATTTAGAAAACCATTTAAATTATATGCTTCTTTATCTATATAAACGTGAACTGATATCAAGCAAAAACTGAGAGTGTAACTTTAAGATAGATTCTATTAACTGAACAATGGTTTATAACTGTCAAATTTAGTCTCCACGGTGAAAATGTGGGATATCTTTCTTCGATGATCAGTAACCAACTAATCACTGTCTAGTAAATTTTAAAGATTGTTAGAGAGACTCTTGCAAAGACGTTCAAGCATCCACAAAACAACATTAATCGATAGTTCTAAACTTCAGTTAGTATGTGACAAAGCAGTTGCACTGGGGCGAACAGACACACTATATTGAAGTCTCAATTCCAAAAGTTCCGGTTCTACATTTACCCAAGTTTTCTTTGTTAACATTCTCTCTCTGTAAAAATTTGAACTGATACACATCAATACTTTTATCGATCGGTACTCGAGTATCACAAAACAAGTAGTGATTATTAAACGAAGTTGCAAACAATCGTTTTGGTTAATAATATAGATGTAAAGGGGCCACCAAATGCCCTGGTATGACCGTGAGTGGGGTGGGCCTACCCTCCCTCTCGAAATGCTCTCACATGGCCACGCGTATATAGCCTCTGCCAGGGAAGTCCTACTCACTGCCTTCTCGTGGCATTACTGTTATTTACGAAATCGAGAGGACGAAAAGCGAATGTCCGGCGTTTTAACCGGATTCCAAACAAATGGTGCACATGGACTCCAGTATCCTGATGGAACAAATGGCGTATGAACTAATCGCTGGTCACCGACTACCATGGGACTGCATCTCCTCACGATGCTCCATTGCCTTGTGGGTCAGACCTTTAGGTCAAAGGCTCGGGGTGTGGCCTCCTAAGAAAACCACCTGCTTCGGTCTAGGCACCCGAGGAGTATCCCAGTCCTCACACAAACCAAGTGACTGATGTGGCGCATATCTATTTGGTGCCTCCTTGTACCAATGTTAATGTGTTTAAATAAATAAATAAACAGTACGAAATTTGTATTACCGGCTTTTTTATATGATAGTGCACATTTAAATGTTTATTAATCTATAAGATTCGAACAACATCAGGTGAGATTACCTTAATAGCATTCTAATACTAAGAAATGTTGAAAAATGAGAAATCGAAAAGAATATATCACAAATAATTTAATAAAATCATTGGTGGTATTTCAGTTTCATACAACTTCTTTGGTGAGACTATAATTTATGAACGACATTTGAGCGACGCTGAAATAACCCTGAGAGTGAACACACACTGATTTGGACTAAATGCGAGTTATAAAGCAGTTAGAATTTTCATTTACAGTTGATGGTCAGGGTTAAAAATTAGATTTAGGGTTTTCATCACGAATTGACATGAGCTATAATGCCAAAACTCAATTTAGCCAAATGTGTGGATGAATTTAGCGCCAAAATTCATGACTCCTTATCTTATATCTGAATGGTTTGCCCATAAATTTTAACCTCGCCACTTTTTTTCATTTGTATATATGACTAAACTAAGAACAATTAGTGTAGTAGAGTAACATGAACTCGTTATACTTCGCGGTTTACCATCAGCTGGTTACAACCTATACATAATAGTATCAATCTTTAAAAACATTAGTACATATACTTTATATCATAACATCAAGTGTTCTCATGAATGAAGATTGATGAGAAGAGTAATAAGTATGAAAGACCGATAAGAGATGTTCATATGTTAATTAATGTGAGTATTCATAGGATATATATATGGCCAAGAACATAGAAACAAAAGTATTTAAGAATATGTTAATGTTATAGTTGTGAAATCCTTAAAAATTAATAGTACAGATAAAAAAGTGAGAAGGAATAGTTAATGCCACGAAAAGAAAAATTGCATAACAATTATTTATGAATGAGTTCACTACGGTACGGAATGATTAACGATTGAACATTTCTGGAAACATAAATTTGGTTTGTCATTTTATGGCAATTGATTTGACAAATCGTAAATTTGAGTTCTTAATGTATTATTTATCTGGAAGGAATTTGAGATATCATAGCCACGCAAAAGCAGATGGAGTGCGGTTACACTTCTGTTCTCTTAAACTGAGCTTCTGTGGAGTGTCCTCAGCAATACAGACAGTAGTCCTCCTTTATACCCTTCCGATGCATGTGCTTTGGCACGTACATGTAAACTGAGAGATACAACCGGAGGTAACATATGGTGGAAATCCGCCAATACATGATCATCTTAATGAGCGATTTTTCTGATATAGAGAGATAAGCTTGGCAGCTGAAAAGGTCCTTTTTATTATGGTTTTCGATCGAAAACCAGTTTTTTTAACTATTTCATCACCCTTGAAGCCAAGTCCTAAAAATAAAGGCTTCCTTTTCACCATAACATATTCCACTTTCTTCGCTTTAGTCTTCTCATATTAGTCTATAAATTTCTGAGGGTAACCATACTCACGTAAACAACGTCCAACCACAGTTAATTCCTCATCAATTCTATCTTTTCACACAATTGAATGGCGCTTTAGTTAAGGCTTTTTGTAGCCTATTATACATAAGCTATATAAATATAAGTAAAACCAACTCCATTTGTTCTTTCGATATATACAACTTTCCAATAGACCATTTATAATACGCTACATACCAAGGTCTAAAAAATGAAACACAATGACATGTTTATGCTCCACTATGAATCTAATATATGCGCGTGCCATAGTGAGAAGTTATAGTATATGAGAAGCATGTTAATAATCATAACAGGTCACAAGTCAGTCAATCAGCCACAACATAGGACCAGGCACATATATACATCGATACAAGTTGCTACACAGCACAACAGTGTGGACACCAAATTATTAAGAGTAGTTAATTTAATGGTAGTCATATATAAAAGAAAGATTGTGTATAAGGATATAATACAAGAAGAAAGAATTAGTTCGTAGAATTAAAGGTATAAAGGAATTTTAATCCAATGGTTTAAGGGAAGACAAAGAATGAATACACCTACAAACTAAAACCATCGGTTATGACACTCACGCAGACCCTAACCAAGTAGTCTGTATTTAGTAACATCGCTCAAACTTGAAGTTAGCGACATCAAGGACAGATACTACGTTCTGGTTTGGCCGCCCCTAACTTTCTTCCATTCGTCTCCAACACTAGTCAGCATTGCGCGTCATGGTAATCGGTGTTCAGGCATACGTAACATGTGGCCCAACCATCTCAGTCGGCGAGAAATCACAACCTCATCAACTGATTTACCATCATTCTCTAGCAGAGAAACTTGCTGTGAACAAGTATCTTCAGAAAAAGTAGTAGATGACTGGATTTTTGAAGATGTGAAGTTCGTGAAAAGAGGTGTGGTTTTAGATTATAATAGGGGAAAATGCAATTGTTGTGGAAATCCAGAGGTCTTTTCAGTGAGTATCATCTGAACATCTGTAATGGCGAGACTATAACTTAAGGACGACCTTTGAACGAATCTCAAATGACCTTGACAATTATTAGCCAATCAGGAGACAGTAACTACAAAGTGAAAATATATGGTAAGTAATGAATTACAGTGGATATTCTTCTTTTACATGATTTAAAAACTTGTTAAGGTTTCATAAAGGTTCAGAGGTTCTGAATTCACATTGCGTATGTAATAGAAACTCGTCTATAAGATTAGGGTTTAGGTTAGGGTTGTAGCATCTCAATAAACACCCCTTCTATAAAATCCGATGTAAACCGATCGCATATTAGCGCCCTAACCCCTAACCTTAAACCTAACCCTAAACTTAACCTAACCCTAACCTTAACTCTAACCTAACCCTAGCCTTAACCATAATCTAAAACCTAGCCCTAACCCTTGCCCCTAACACTATGGACGAGTTTATATACCATATGCATTATGAATTCAGAACTTCCGAGCCTTTATCAAACCTTAACAAGTTTTTAGATCAGGTAAAAGAAGAATATCTGTAATTCATTACTTTCTTGTAATAAATTTTTACTTTATATTGTCTTCTGATTGTCTAATAATTGAAATTGCTCAAACGCTTCTGATTGGCTCGTCCGTAAATTAGAGTCTCACCAAATTTGGCACATTTTTGAGAAACTGCTATAGTATACTTTTCGGAAATTAAAGTGCAATGTCACAAAACCCCAAAATTTTACCGGAACTATGGAAATCCCTGAAAAACATCACAAATTTGGGAGCTTAGACTCGTCTATTATGAGTGAAAAAAGGCAATTTCAGTTGCGATTTCGCCTAAATAAACACCATATTTTCTCAAAAAAATGTTACTTGACTTCTTTTGAAGTTAATATTTATTTTTTGTTCTTTCTTTGCTAGTCAAAATGAATTTGATGTGATTCAGTGAGAAAATTATCACAGAAAGAAGTGCATTTATGGCTTAAAATTTATGTTTATTGCTTAGTAATGAAGCTAACTGATGAAATATGTTTAAAGCGGGAGACACTAACCTTGAGGTACCACTTCCATTAGATAAAGCGCTTAAACCTACGCGCTCTATTCAAAAGGACAGTGGTATTCTTTCTCGTTGAGTTAATTAACTGTTTTGATCGTAAACTACGCATCAAAACTACTGTTTACACTTTAATTGCATCTACCCCAGTTAAAGTGATATTGTATTGAGTTTTTTGATTTTGCTTCTGTGTATTTATTGCATCGAAGCATACTTGGTCGACTTTTACTTGGTTTTTTAGTTAAGGTTTGAAAATCCCTTTACATATCCTGTTTTTTTATCACCGTTCGAGTTGATTTTCACGATGGCTAAGTCTACTCATAAATGTGGACAACCATACTGCTTATTTCCCGTGGATGAAGGGATGCAATGTGATGAGTGTAATAAGTGGTTCCATAAGATGTGCACCCGACTAAGCCCCACTGCATATAAACGGTGTTCAAAGCCCAACTCTCACTGGCTTTGTAGTTTCTGTTGCTCAAGCAAAACATTGCTTATCCAGGAAGCAATTAGTCTCCTGGTGTTGGCTAATAAGAAGGTTGATGAAGGCTGTACTGATAACATTGGTACTGATGGCGAAGATTGCGTTAGTGTCGTAAGTGCTATCACGGCGCAAGCCAGACATCTACCTGTGCAACCAGCAGTTAAACGTTCTCCTCCGAAACGTTCAGTGAGTGACACGTCATTAGACGTTGGTGGCCATATTGCTACAGCAGCAACCGGTGACCCAGATAAAACAATTACTGTCCCGAGTTGTTCTAATGTAGACGTTTCGACTGATGGAAAATGGATGACGCGAAAACGCAGAAGAGTAGGAAAGATAGCTAAAACTAATGACTGTTTACTTGGTAAGTCCTTGGTGGACTCTCAGGCCAATCCGCCAAAGTCCCATAGTAAAGTTTCGTCTGACATTGTTGTGAGTCATTCGCTTGACTCCCAGGACTCTGTTAAAATAAAAACTAATCGTAAGATACCAGTAGTTAAAATACAGGATCTAACGTCACGTTCAAAAGCTGTAAACACAGTTTCAAAAGAAGCCAAACCCCTCCCTAGTTTAATTATTTGGAATCTAGAGGAGTCGAAAGACAACGACCCTGCTAGAAGACATGCACATGACCTGCAGTTAGTGGAGTCTGTGGTAAGGAATGTACTACCTGAAGAGGTTTCAGGAGTACATATTACAAAAGTAATACGACTTGGTAAATGGGTTGGAGGCGAGACCCAACCAAGAAGAATCCTGAAGCTGGTTCTCGGAAGTATTGATGAAAGAGACATATTATTGAAAAGCGCACTAAAAACTCGTGACTCAAATATCCGTATTCGACCAGATTGGCCACTTGAGGATCGAATCAAGTGGAAGAATGCTCTTACGGAGTTGAGGACTCGTAAATTAAATGGCGAAAATAACCTTACCATTAAGGGTTTTCGGGTAGTCAGGTCTTGGAAGCCAATGCTTCCGAGGCCTGTATGGGTAGAACGGTTGATTGCCAAAACACCTTAAGTGTGTGCTACACGAACGCTCGTATTCTTAGAAATAAAACGTCCGAGCTAAGTCTGATGGTACAAGAATTACGTCCCGATATAATCGTTGTTACAGAAACTTGGTTCACCGTTGATGTAGACTGTCCTCCTTTCATTGCTGGTTATATCTGTATCAGAAGTGATAGAGTTTCTAGTCGCAAAGGGGGAGGTGTAATATTATATGTTAGGGATCACTTTCGTATACAATCAACCATATCAGAGGCTCATATCAGTGGCACATGTGAGGTTGCATGTTGTAAGATTAAATCTAGAAATGGGTTAGTGACTATAGGGGTAATATACCGTAGTCCGTCTTGTCTTGCTGACGACTTTATCCTAAGACACATCTGTTCTTGGAGTATGGCAGAATGTTGTCTCATCATTGGGGACTTCAACGCACCGCATATCAACTGGATAGAGCTTACAGCTCCAGGTAGTGGTTTCGATAGCGACCTTTTATCTACCGTTATTCAGTGTGCACTTGTACAATGTATCATAAAACCGACACATATTGATTTGCAACATGTTCCGTCACTGCTGGACCTCGCCCTCACCCACCACTCTGAGGATGTCCTTGATATCCAGCACCTTCCTCCACTAGTGAACAGTGATCACGTTGTAATTCACTTTAAGTTTAGGACACATGGTATACAATTCGTATCTGCTCCACCCCGTCCCAATATCTGGCGAGCCAATATTCCGGAAATCAGAAACTGTGCTATCTCGACTGATTGGTCGGTCGACGCGGATGGATTGATCGAAGATGAATGGAATAAGTTCAAGGCTACATTCGAGTCCGTAACGTCGCCGTTTATCCCATGGTCAGCACGTAAGCTATCACATTGCCCTCCATGGATTAATAAGGAAACCCGGAAGCTGTTAAAGCGTAGAAAACATTTCTGGGACTTATTCTTGTTGACAGGTCATGCACCATTTAAGCGTGAGTACCAAAAATACCGTAATATCTGTAAGAAAACCATAGACAAATCTCGTACCACTTACGAACGACAGTTAGTATACGATAGCCGTACTTGTCCGAAACGATTTTTTTCGTATGTTAAACGGCAAATGAAACGTAGTGATAGTATTCCCCCGTTACTGTTACACGACAATTCAGAATTACTAGCTGAATCAGATCGAGCAAAAGCTGAGACTTTTTCAGACTACTTTAGCGAAGTCTTCTCAACGATTATTGTAACAAATACTTGTCCCACTCACACCGAGATACCAACCATCGAATCTGTACAGGTGACTGAGGAAACTGTCCTTCCGTTGATAACTAACCTCAAACCTGGTAAAATACCGGGCCCTGACGGGTTACATCCACGGTTGCTGTCATCTCTTGCGGACATTATTTCAAAACCGCTTGCGACACTCTTCAACATGTCCCTCTCACTCGCTCAACTCCCTAGAGATTGGAAGGACGCTATAGTTAGTCCTATATTTAAGGACGGTCAGCGACAGATAGCATCTAACTACCGACCTGTCAGTCTAACTAGCATAGTCGTTAAGTTACTGGAAAAAATAATTCGGGTTAGGTTGCTAAGCCACATAGATTTACACAATCTGTTAGCTCCTGAGCAACACGGATTTCGTAACAAGCGTTCATGCTTGACTAACTTGCTTATTGCGAGGGAGGATTGGACAGCAGCCCTAGATAACGGTCTGTCTGTCGACGTGATATTCATAGATTTCAGCAAAGCGTTTGACAAGGTTTCACACGTAGGTCTTATGCAGAAGCTCACGAGCTTCGGAATAATAGGCACTGTACATGAGTGGATAGGAAATTTCTTATGTGACCGCAGACAGAGAGTTAGAGTCAACGGAACGCTATCCGATTGGAAGCCGGTCAAAAGTGGTGTACCCCAAGGCACCATCTTAGGCCCTCTGCTCTTCCTTCTCTACGTTAATGATTTACCGCTGTTACTTAGGTCGTCGACATTATTGTTTGCGGATGACGTAAAAATCTGGAGAACAATAAAAAGTGCGGCTGATCATGTGGATCTTCAGCTGACTTAGACGATTTAGTTAGATGGGCTCGGGAGTGGGGCTTAGAAATCAATGCTAGGAAGAGTGTGCTAATGCACATCGGTCACGGTAATAGTTACCGTTACACTATTGAGGGTAAACCTCTTCCATGCGTTCAAGAGCATAAAGACTTAGGAGTAATATTAAGTCATGATTTAAAAACAACTAAGCATTGCAAAGCAGCCGCTGTCAAAGGTTTTCGTGCGTTATGGTCACTTCGCCGAGCGTTCAAATCTTTTGACGAGGAAATGTTTAGAATTTTATATCCCATATATGTTAGACCACATTTAGAGTACTGTATCCAAGCAGCTAGCCCGTGTCTGGTAAAGGATACTAACTCCCTTGAGCGTGTCCAGCGTGTGGGAACGAAATTAGTGAAGGGTCTTTCTAGACTCCCTTACGATGAGCGTTTAAAACGCCTAAATCTTTTCCCCTTGTCGTATCGTAGGACACGAGGTGACCTTATACTGGCATTTCGTATCTTTAATTATGATTTGGGTGTTAATATGTCTTATCTTTTTGCTCCCTCCAGCACTATTAATCTCCGAGGTCATAGCAAGAAGGTTCATAAACCACGATCTAATAAACTTAAAGTGGGATCCCGTTTTTCTCATCGAGTAGTCAATGATTGGAACGCCTTACCCGAACAAGTGGTATCAGCCCCATCAGTGAATACTTTCAAGGAAAAGCTGGACCTTCACTGGAAAGCAATGTGTCAGGATTAACACAGGTTCATCAACCTACTATCCTTATTACTGAAGACTGAAGACTGAAGACTGACATCAAACGTTTTTGTGTCCAATATCTGTGAAGAGCGTACAAAAAAGTAAGAGCTTTGAAGTCACTTCTTGGTGTTTCAAAACGGTTTAAAGTCGGTTTTCAAAGTGTGGTTGTTCAGTTTATCGACTACAACAGCCCTAACGTTTTTGTAGTTGTTTTACTCATTGGGATTTCATACTGCACACGCTCTTATGTGCTACAAAACAGCTTGTTACTTAAATGGTTCAAGAAATCTACAAAGAACCTACAGTCATCGAGAATTCCACTCTTCGTCTGCTAACCAGCGAAAGGCACTGTTAGGCGGAATACAAACGAACTTATAACAACGGCGCGTACAGGCAACACAAACATATAAGGAAAATATGCACGAAGGCTATAAGAGAAGATAGGCTTCAGTACCAGATAGAGCAAATCGATAAATCTGTCTCTGATCCGAAAAATTCATTCCGTTATCCAGCCTCTCTTCGACAAGCCAATACTGGAGATTCCCAACTGCTAGGTCCTAACGATAATAATAATAATAATGCCGCTAACCTTTTGACTGAACAATACTCTCAGACATTTCAACGGACACACATCAACTATATTGATGGAAGCTTCATCTAAAACTGTACAGGACTTTCCGAAGCGAACCTGAGCGCTATCCTGGTGCACCGAAATCTGCTGCACTTAAGGAAAATACTTCTCCTAGAC